ATTATGAGTCTTCATTTATTTTATATTTATCTAAAAATACTAAATAAGATTATTTTTTCATGTTTTAACTTTTACTTCTACTTCTTAAAAAATAATCTTATATTCAATTGTAAAAACAAATTTTGTTTTACATTGTATTAAGTTATTATTTAAGAAAAATCATAATAAAATCTTATACAAATTAAAAAATATCAAAACATAGTTAAGAAGAAAAAAATTACCAAAAACTTTTCAAAACTTAATTTTTATAACTTCACAATTTTTCTTTCAAAAGAATTCAACCTCCATTAAGATCAATCTAAAATTTTTTACAAAATAAATTCATCATGTTTAAATGATACTAAGAAAATTCTTACAAAGACATATATGAAACATTTGGAATTTCTTTTAAATAAACTAATTATTCTCACAAAGAAAAATGACAGATCGTAGCAATTGTGTGTGCATTGTTATAGACTTAACAAAATTAATTGTTAAAATTTTAATTTTTAATTTTTAATATTAAATATTTTATTAATAAAATAAAATAAATATTTATATTAAATAAAATTTATAAATATTTTAAGATCTAATGTGTGTGTATATATATATATATATATATATTTATATTTATATTTTAAAAATAAATTTTAAACTGGATATAGCTATTTAAAATATAATGCTATATCTTTTAGAATCATAAATATTCTAATTACTTTTAAAATTTGAAAATTGATGTATTTTGTGAACTTCTAAATAATTTTAATATGTAATACTTTAAAACTTTCTTATGGATTGTGAGATTGTATATACATTTACACAAAATGTATAATTTATATTAGTGAAATAAAAAAATCAAGTTTATGTGCCAGTATAGAAAAAGATACATTTATTGCAATCTTATTAGACTTTTAGAGATTTATCATGTCAAGCGATAATTTCCAAATAGATTCGAGATCTTCTAAAATATTATAGAATAGAAAATAAAATATTAATTAGATAATAATATTTTCTTGAATAAAATTTATTGTTATATGTCTATTTAAGATTTATTTTCTAAATTTTTTTGATCTACTACTATAATTAACTTATAAAGAAAAATTGTTATATAATAGATATAAAAAAACCAATTTACAAAATTTATTCTATTTTTAATATAATTTCTATTTATATTACTGGAACTTCATAATATCACTTATAATTGAAATAGATAAATAAAATCCTAAACTATGATCAATTTTATTAAAATTCATTAACTAAATTATAAATATTTTTTTTATTTATTTAATAATTTTTTTTATGAATTAAGTTTATTGTAAGATCTAAAAATAAAAATAAATTCTTAGTATAATAAATTTGTTTCAAAAGTAGCATAAGATATTAGAAGAAAATTTATACAACAATTATAATTTATATTGATAAATAAACCTCAACTATTTCATATTAGCATGTGTTTGAAATTGTTGGTAAGATTCTTAAAACATGTCTTTGTCATAGTTTATAATGAATATTTTATATTTATTTAAGAAAATATAAATAAGTTTATTAGATGCCATATCTGAAAGTTTTATTCTGCACCAAGAAAAACATTGCTCTCTAAAATATAAACTCAAAAGATCAAACTAATATAGTCGGATTTAATAAGTTTTTTTCAAGTTTTTTATACATATTTTTTAATATCTGTTATTAAAGTATCTTTATTTTGGTTTTAATATTTTTTATTTTAAATTTAATAGTTTTTTATTATAAATGTTGCTTAAATATTCTTAAAGACCAAATTTAATTACATGCATTTTAAGCACAATATGATTTTTTAATGGTATGAACTTTTTAATACAAAAAAACTGCTAACTTTATTTTAAGAATTTCTATTAATATTATATTTTTAATACAAAAAAACTGTAAAACTTATTTCAATTAATTCTTTAAATTTGCAACAATTTTTCTTAGACAAAGACTTCAAATTATTAAGCTTGGAAACGTCTTCAATTTTTTTTATTCTATAACAACTACGATCATTGATTTTTTAGTTTTGATTTCATTTAGCTTTATTTTTGTAGTGGTGAATTTCTTAATCTATTTTAAATATTTTATGATAAAAGAGCATTATGAAAATAATAATATAATTTTTTAATATTTATTTTTGATATAAGAGATTATAAAGTAAATTTATAAGTAATGAAGTATCTTAATTTATATTAAGATTTTAGATAATATTCTTCAAAAAATAAAATGTTAATTTTTTTTTTACTTTTATCTATTTATTCTTAATCTTGCAAATAAATGGATCATATGGATCAAATGTTTCTTTATCAATTTTTACCGAAAAAATTAAAAAAACTCACTTTCTATCCATAGAAATTGAATATAATAATATAATATTTTTCTTTATTTAAAAATTTTATTTAATACAACTATATTTAATATATTTAATACAACTATATTTAATATATTTAATAAAAGTATATTTAAATAAATATTTTTATTTTAAAAAAGTTTAAAATTTAGTAATATATTATTTTTAGTTATTTTTTATTTTAAATAAATTTAATAATTATGTATAAGATAAAATTACTAAATTTAATAAATATTTAGTATATTTTTATTTTTAAAAAAAATTATTTTAACATTATTTCATTTTATTCAAGCACCATTAATTTTAAATCTTTAAATAAATCATTTAGATTGTTTCAATCTTTTAATATTTTAGTATAAAAATAAATGTCTTCAAACAAAAATCTCATATAAGACATTATATATGTTGTATCATAACTTTAGAAAAGAATCTTAATGTTTGGTAATACAATTGGAATTCAATACTATATTTTATGACATTTCAAATACATTATTTGAAGATAATTATAAAGACTTTAATAATAACCAAAAAATTGTTTGGGCTTTTTGGATGGATATAAAAAAATATTGATGGTTTAAAGAATCTATCAACTACCTTCATATCAAGCATATATTAGAACTTGAAATAACAACATTTAATGGAATATAGGCTTAATCTACTTAAGCAGAAATTTGATTGCTCTTCATATAACTTTTCATCTAAAAAAAATATATATTATTATAATAAAATAAATATAAATTTGTAAGATCTTTTGAAAGGTATAGATTTGGTTTAAGATATTTTTGTATATATAGTATATCAAAATTATTATTAATTTTTAAAAAATATCATAAAAGCAATTTAAAACCTCAATAATTGAACTACAAGTCTTGTAATCTATAAGAATATTATATATTCTTTTTTATTTCTAATTTAAATGGTAGCAAGATTGAGGTCATTTTTTTTGTCTTATCAATGCTTCTCTTACATTTTAGTTTTACTTCAAGATATTTTAGTTTCTTTGAATTTAGAATATTCTATTCTAATTTTTTTTTATTATAAAACTTTAATTAAATTTAGCTTTTCTTCTTTTTTTTTAATCATACATAAGTATCATGTCTTTTCAAAGTCTATTATGATTTTTTTTTAACATTATAAAATTTTGGTTGCTACTATTATATTATAAAATTATTAAATATTTTAAATTTTGAATATAAAAAAATATTTTTATTTTTTAAATAATATTTTTCTTTATAAAAATGACTTTTCTTTCATATATAGGAATATAAAGCATCACATATTTAAATTGTTATTGTACAAAGGTACTAAATTTTAAAGTTAATCACATTATGCTATGATCTCTATTAATAATATGATTTAAGATAACCTTATAAAAAAATATACTTATGTATTATAAAAATAAATAAATCTTAAATCAAGACTAAAGTATAAAATAATTTTTTAAAAAATCTATAAATAAATTTAATCTTGCTTCCACACATAGTAGCTAATAAGAGATTTGTTAAGAACTACAAGGTTCATAGATCAAATTTTATATTTTTTAAGACAATTTGATAATAACTTTTTAGAAATGAAAAACTTTTTTTGAAGTTATTATTTTTATATGATGCACAATAAATTTCAATTTATATTTATATATATATTTTTAAATTTATTAAATAGGATATAAATCTATCTTTACTTACTTCCAATAATTTAGATAGTATAAATATTTGTAACAAGTTTATTTTTTTTATTTGAATGATATATTTTATACATCATAATTTTAACCTTAGGTTGTCAAGGACATGATTCTTAAAGAACAAAAAGATTAATACACTCTTGTATTACTCAAAAAGATGAGATAATCACTAAATATATATATATATATATATATAATATTAAATTCAAATAGCTATTGCCAAAGACAAAAAAAACTAGAGTCTCTTGAAACAAGACTAAGAATATAAAAGGCATTGATAAGAGTAAAGAAGGCTTCACTCTTACCCCTATATATACTATCTAATTAAGAGCTAAGTGACGATGTTCTATAGGACCTCCAACATGTGTCCAACTTGCAAGACACATGTCTAACTTACAATACATGTTTTTTTTATATGTGTGCCATATAGTTAGCTTCTTCTACAAGTTACTAATATGTGCAACACATGGCTAACTTGTTGGTTAAGTTTTTAATCTATTAATCAATTTCAAACTTGTTTAAAGTTAAATATACATTTATGAAGCTTCTAAGAAATTTTACTATAAGATAATATCAAATCTACCTAATACTTCTTATCTAGGTAAATATATATTAGTTATGGATTATGACACATACAAATGCTACATTTTGCAATTAATCAAGTTTGGACATATGACAAACCAATTATCTTCAAGTTCATTTATCAATCCATTATTTTAGTGTGACATATAAAGTAGTAAGACTAGGAGCCAAAATTATTGTAACACAAGCCCCACACAAAAAGTATATTCCAACACCTCTCGCCCCGCTTTAAGGAAGTGAGAGAGAGTTTTGAATGCCTAAGAACCGGATTAAAGCCCGGCGGGTACCAATCTCGAGGCGAAATAGGAAATAAGATTGCCCAGGAACTTGCCACCCGGGCCTCAATCAGCTATTTAAACGATGGGGACAGGAAGACCCGGACAAAGACCTCGTTTGAGACGTTGAAGCCCCCGCCCATTTTCAAATTCAAGTTCTTCCGTCTTCGAACTCTGGACTTGAACCGCAGTAGCCCCCGATTACTGCGATGAATGCACCAAGACGAACAGTCCTTTTCGAGGTTTGAATTACTTGCAAATGCTTCCCATCTTGCGGATTGTTTCCAGGCCTGACCGAGTTTCAAGTCTTGTAGCTCGCGGTAGTCTTGCAACCAATGTGCGTGTATTGGAAGGAATTTGGCTCGTCGCTCAAGGTATGTAGTCAAAGGCGATGAGTTGTTGTATGAGCCTACGCGTATTTCCTTGTTATGGATGGGTCCTTGCAGTGTCAAGCTGGGCATGTCGTAGTTGATTAGGCGCGAGCTTGAATGCGCCTCGGGAGATCTTTTCGAGGTTTCAAGGGCGCGGGTTTAAGTTTTAGCTAGAGAGAGTGTGCGGAGATTTCCGAAGGTTGATGCTTAACCCCACTTCTGCTAAGTGTTTTTATTTTGGTTGCCACCGAAGCGCTTCGGATGGATGGGCTGAGAAATTTGAATGTGAGCTATGGAATTCGGAAATAGTATTCTTCACCAGCTCACATTGCTTGTGGTCTGTTTCGGACTCTGAGCGCACTGTTGAATGTATCAGTTGTGTGCCTTTGTTGGACCTTTTGTTTACACGAACTGGGTTCCTGATGCTATGAGAAGGCTGAAGCCGATCCCAGCGTTCGAGATTGTAAGAAGTAGATATTTTATGAGTAACTCTCCATGAAAGCTTGCTGCTCTTTTTGGTTAAGCCGTCAGCTTTCCAAAAAGCGGTCAACAGCACTACTTTGGTTATAAATTATCAAATTGCAAAGAGTGAAAACCAACTCAAGCAACTCATTGATAGTACTTTGCCATCCCTGGAAGTTACGTTGTGCAGGATGTCACAACTGTAGTGGAGAATAGGTCCCTTTTGGGGACTGTTGGTTTCAGCATGAATTGGATCGGTTCACCCTATTATAGTTTCCAATGTTTTATTTTCTCTAGTTCGCAGTGTGTGTTCATCGTGTTTTTTTCCTGCATCGAAGTCCCAATTTTCACACCCTGGTTTAGGAGGGCGACTCGTATCCCACTGTAGAATAGTTCTTTTGGTGTGTGCTTGAGTCCATTCGCCTCTCTCATTCCTCTTTCGCTAATGGCACAATGAATATTTTCGGCTCATTCATTCTGCCAAATCTATGACATTTAACGATATTGAATGTATAATTCTGATTACAGACCAATAGAGAGAACACAGTATTTGTGAAAATATGAATGTGAGTTCAATCCCAACGGTTTGAAGGGACAACAATTCTATCAAAGCAGAAACGTAGTTGAAAGGAGAAATTATGGAGAAGATTTGTGTGGCCATTCGGTTGAGACCGCCTACGAAACAGAATGTAGTTCGAGGTCATCACTGGAAAGTGTCGGACAACTCAATATCGTTGCTCAGTGCAGCTGGCTCAGTCGTATCCGGTCATACCTTCGCTTTTGGTACGTTTTCTTCACCTTTCTATAATATCCAGTTGGCTGAATAGGAAAAAGGACCGCAGATCCTAGCATTTCAAGAGATGCCTTTGGGTATCACCTGTGCGGGTCCCGATTTTGCATTTTATGGAGTGTAGTTCGAAACAGCAACACGAATAAACTATTTCATAGTTTGTTTTTCTTTCTTAATGTTTCTTAAAATCTGAACGTCAATGTTTCAGAAACCTCTTGTCTTGTGATCGTATCGATTTTTCTGACAATGCGTCAACGAATACATTGAGACCTAGGTACCAGACGTCCTTTAGGATGTCAGAAATTTTCTCACCTTTGTGGTTTCGAGTACAGATACAATTTTTGGAGCAGACGCCAAGAATATCAACATCTACGAGCAGCATGCGAAGGATGTTGTACTATCTGCTGTTGCTGGGTTTAACGGTATGCCCTTTAGTCGGAGTTGATGTTTTATTGTTACAATTTTGTAGGAAATATGAGCATGTGTACGAATTTGTAGCTTGCCCAGTCGCTCAGCAACTTCACAATATTGACAAATCAAGTGGTTTCACACACTTGAGAAAGACCTTTTCAGTGGTTGCTTACACTTGTAATGTAGGCGTAGGCTACAATCCTGACTATTGTAACATTTTTTCAACCCAACAGGCACAGTTTTTGCTTATGGGCAAACCAGTAGTGGAAAAACATACACCATGCGTGGCTCAGAATCTGAGCCAGGAATTACTCGCCTAGCCGTGAATGAAATTTTTCGTCATATCCAAAAGGTGAGAAACACCTACGCTAAACTTCATTGTGAACGTTTCTTCGGTATGCTCAATATGTTATACTATCACACATTTTCTACCTAGCTATTTTAGCAGCCACTTTATCCTGTAGTCCGCAGGTTAAATCGTTCCCCTTTGTGTCGCAGGCGTCGGACAGGGAGTACCTCATCCGTGTCTCTTACATGGAAATCTATAATGAAGAAATCAACGATCTTTTGACTCCAGACAGTCGTAAGCTGCAAGTTCACGAGAACCTGGAGGTACTGTTTCCTGTGAATCGCGTGAACGTCAAGGTTTACCCAGCCAAACTCGGATTTTCTCTAATACACTTGATCACCTCTGCAGAAGGGCGTTTTCGTAGCAGGCTTGAGAGAGGAAATCGTTGACAGTGTTGAACAAGTGCTTGGACTGCTGGAGGCTGGAGAAGGTAAATCGCCTCACTTCATCGGCTCTTGCTAACGGTGCTGATACTCTGCTGTGGTTGAGTGAAGGAATTTACCAACTGCCTGTGGTCTCACTTTTCTTGCTCTAGGCCGTTGCCATTGAATGGCCTGCTTAGCTTTAATCTCTACTAGAGCTGGTTGTAGTCTAACCAAGGACATGTTTGAAACTTGAAATATCTTTTTCGTTTACCAATCCGTGTGCCTTTGAGAATACGTCCATCCATTAAGAACTTAACGACTTACTAAGAAGTTTTCCACGTGGACAATATTCCACTTTCTTATTCTCTGACATGTGCACGGCCACTTCGCAGTTCAACGTCATTTCGGAGAAACCAACATGAACATCAACAGTAGTCGTTCTCATAGCATATTCCGTATGGTGAGACTCATCAAGCTTGGTGCAATATCGCAACTGTTTGAATACCTTCACTCTATGAAATTAGTTCTCATCTACCCATTTATACGCCATTTTGTATGTTGCATAATGCTTAGAACTGTACTGCATGTCTGAATTGTGCTTATGTGGAACTGTCTTGTGTATGAGCCCAAGCCTAATGTTCTGCATGTCTCACCAATGTAGGTGATTGAAAGCAGAAGCAAGTGTCATGGTGGACAGGGATCTGATGATGTGGATGCCGTTCGTGTATCTGAACTGGTAAGACAATTCTACTCGCAAACAACTACCATTTGTTATATTACGGGAGGAGCAATGTCTCCAAGAGTGGAGCTGCATGATTCCGAGACGCTGGTACTTGGTTATCTGGTGCTATGATGAAGTTTAATCAAATGTCATCAGAACTCAGAATTTTGCAGATTGTGTGTGTGTGTATAGAGAGATATACACACACCTGCATATATGTATCCGAGTTGATTTTTTCTTCCATGTCCCAACTGGTTGTGTGTATTTCATCTCCTCATGCAGAACTTGGTGGATCTCGCCGGTTCAGAAAGAATCGCGAAGACCGGAGCAGGAGGTGTCCGCTTGAAGGAGGGAGGACACATCAATAAGAGTTTAATGTGTCTTGGAAACGTCATCAACAAGCTTTGTGAGGGTGGTGCAAAGCAAGGGTCAGTGATAGATTTAATATTTGTGTTTCAAGTAAGTTGCAAGCTCGATTGTAAGTATCTTTAATGCCCGGTCTTGATCAGAACTATTGTTAGTTTAGTACGAACCCATCGTAGACACCAAATGGCTAGAGAATACTTTATGTACGAATGTTTAATCAACTTTGTTTATTTGATTCCATTCAGAGCTCACATACCGTACCGGGACAGTAAGCTTACTCGAATCCTTCAAACTGCGCTAGGGGGTAATGCTCGCACTGCCATTATCTGTACAATGACTCCTGATGAGGTAAAATCAGATCTTACCAACTCTGTAGATTGGAAAAAGTTTTCCGGCTTCATTCATACTTGGTTCAAAATGAATAACAATGATATCCCTCCCTTGGGGTGTGTGTGTCCGGTACAGCGTCAAAGGTGGTTCTCCGATAAAGGATAGGTCTGGTGCTTATTAGGCAGTTGTGTCACTCCGCCGTGAGCAATGTGTCTTCCCCTCTTCTACATCTCGCTTGTCATGGCAAAACATAATTGAAACGCAAAGAGGAAAAATGTAAGCCTTTATTATAGTATTTGTCTCGTTTTAATGCTGTATTGGGCGGAACATTGTCGCAGGAACAAATAGATGAAAGTCGAGGTACCTTGCAATTTGCTAGTAGGGCAAAGCGAGTAACAAATTGTGCCCAAGTGAATGAGGTAATATGACTTACCTAAGTGGAAGGTGACTCATCAATACATTCGAAATATCGTCTTTGAGACACATTTACTAAGGATTTCTCTGATTCGGATACATCGCATTTGTTTTAAGGTGCAGCATGTAGTTACCCGATTGAAATACAAACACCAAAGCAAGGATCTTCATTTGCTCTGTGGCCAAGTATACGGGAGCTTACCTTGTCCGTTTGTTGCAGACTTTAACAGATGCAGCACTTTTAAAACGGCAGAAAAAGGAGATTGAAGAGCTTCTCCTAAAGTTGCAGGTTTGTTCACCCTTAGCTTCCTGTAGTTGAAAGTACATGTAGCCAATCTAAGACTTGCTCCTAAATGTTGACTTGCAATGGTGTACTTTCCTCTAGTCTTAACTCGTAATAGACGAAGTTGCACGAATAACGGCTTTTGGAACTGGCTTGATACCTGGGGGCTTAAAGGTTTTCTTCACATGAAGCAACGTTTACATCCTATGTCTAGGTTTCGCTTGGAGGAGAAATGTTTTTAGCTTCTTATAGTCTGTGTCTAGTGTATTGAGTATGCAACTTTTATTTCAGGGGCAAGGATCTAAACCTTCGGAGGAATTGGAGAAGGAGATAAAGCACCTACGAAATGACTTGCTGAAGGTTTGTGTGCATAGTTTCTCAGCTCTAGTAGCACAATCTCTTTGCAACAGTAGGCTGATGTTCAAATCCCAGGAAAATATGTGATCCCAATTTCTGCAGGCGCTTTGCATAAAAACGTTCTGATTGAATGCATTTGTTTCGTGCATGCTGCTCTTTCTTGATTAAGCTTGGGTATTGGATATTTTAGATTGAATTGGAAAGAGAAAAGCTGGAGCTTGAGCTGCAAGAAGAGAAAAAGGCTTTGAATGATAAACTAAAAGAACAAGAGAGGAAGATTGAGAATCTCAGCACCATGGTCATCAGCTCAGCCACTGATGACTTCGGCCAACTTTCTCAGAAGGTACTCGGACACTTTCTTATCTGAAAAAACACATTTCATCTCTCAAGAACGTCGGAACTGAACATTTGAACTGGAAACTATTACGCTCTCGTCCTTCAGAATTATGAACTTGTGCATCTGTTGTGGTTTTGTCGTGCTGTACGGACTTCCGTTGCTTCAGCTTATGTAGCAATGAACCAAAGCACAACTAATCATGCCTTTGAACCAACGGCAGGGAAGCAGAAGGGAAACATGGTGTCCACGTCAAGTAACGTCTGACCCAGATATTCAGGTAACCTTTTCGTAACAATACCATCTCGTAGTTTAATTGTGCGGAATGTAGGCTCTTCCTTTAATACATAACATGCTTTATACGGTTATGTATTATTCTGCAATATGACATCAGCACTGAAATTGGAACACAGAGAATGAAGAAAACGGCGAAAGAGTTTGAAGCACCATCAAACTTTCTTGGAAGCACTGTTCCCGTGTCCCTTCGAAGGAGCCACAACCTTGGACTTCCGCCTGCGTTTGGAAGTTTGATTGAAGATGAGGAAGATTTTTGGAAGAGTCCAGATGTGCTCGATAAGCCACCAACACCAGCGGACTTCGAAAATGTAGCAGATGAAGATACTTGGGCATCTTTAAATGGTGGTCACATGAATAGTGATCTCTTCAATGATCGTTTTGACCGTAGGGCCATTTCCTCGTCAGCTAGCGAAGATTCAAGGTGTATCCTGGTTAGTGTTATTTCTGGTCCTGTATGAACTGTGCTTTCTCTCTAACTACTGTGGTTAGTTGAGTTGAACTAACGACGAAGTGACGCACCAGCCATTTTCGTAACCAAGATCATATTTGTAACAGGCTATCCAAATGATGGCCTCCCTTCGGTGCTAGTTGCTACCAGCATGACCTATCTCATCGTCATCTGGCTCATTCTGGAATAATAGCATGTTACGCTATGACACCAGTAATCCGCCTGCAATTGAGTAGTGTAAAATTTTCTGCCACTCTAACGTAGCCCCCGGCATTGGGAATTGTTTGCAGCTTGAGCATCAGCTTAGGGAGCTCCAAGCTCAGCATGAACAGTTACAGACATCCTTCAACAAGAAAGAACTCGAGGTTAGCACTTTTAAAATCAGACTGTATCCTCAGAATTCAAATTCAAGTTTGCATGCTTATTCGAAAACGCAGTTGTCGCTGGCGTGGCTGTAGATCTGGTTCCAATGGACGCTTACTTCGTTTTTGTAGACCTCCAGTGCACAATCTAATTTAACTTATTGGGCCCAAATTCAAATTGCATAGTGAAATGAGCATGTTCATCCATACTTTTTTGCTACCCCTCAACATCTTGAGATTACTGGCTTTTAGGCGACTTTTAATGCCCTGTTTGTACAGCATCAACAACAGCTTGAGACGGCTATTGAGGATACTCGCAAATTCAAGGATCAAGTTGATCTTCTATCCCAAGAGAACGCCAATCTTGAGGTTGGATTTGCATCTCCATCCATAGATTTTGTTACTGTGACTGTACGAGTTGAATAAGTGCGTGTTTCTTTTTTTCTTTTTTTTAAATGTCGTAAAAATTATTCTTGCGCCTTCTCCAACCTCGCCTTAATTTTTCCTGCATACAATGCAGGAAGCTTTGGCTCTGACGGAAACACAAATGCTCCCACCAGTCGCTCAGCTGTCACCCCCAGTTGTGACCGAAGACTATTATGTCAAGAAATTGGAAGAGTTGGTACACGAGATGGAGGTAGAACAGACAAATAGCAAGCAAGAAAAAGTGCGGTTACAGGAGGAGGTCGAGTGTCTCCAAGACCAACTTCAAAGTGCGAACACTACCCTGCAACAAGAGCTGCGGCTTCGCACAGAGTTGGAACAGGAGGTTTTGTTGCTAAGAGAGAAGTTGAACTCTCCAAACATACACATGCAATCTTCAATTCATGAGTGCGGTTTTGCGAAAAACCTTCACAGCGATGAAGGTTTTAGAACTACCGATGAAATATCTCTATCTCGAAAGCATGAAACAGGAGAACTGGAAGAGCTTCGTTCCCTTGAAAGTTCCGACAAGGAAGAAGCTTATTATGAAGAAGTTAAAACACTCGCTCCTCGTTGCAGCTCCATCTCGGATATGCAGCTAGATATTGTGGGGATTGAGGACAGGAAATCAGAAATTTGGATGGAGCAGATTACTGGAATCGCAGCCCCGACAAAATTAATCAAGGCTGAGAGACTTTTGCTGGCAAATGAGCTCCAAAATTACATCGGTGCCCTCGCGAAGCAGGATGCGGCCATCTCGGCAATTTGCATGGAGATGAAGGAGTTCGAAGTAGACATCATGAACAGGAGTAGACCTATCTGCTGACTCACAACCTGCACATGAACCCAATTTCATGGCGACCCCAATGTACAGTAGTCAACCATCCTTAAAAACTATTGTAAGTTAAATGTGAAAGGTACAGGTCTGCATTGCGGCACGATAATGCCGCGACAGATAGCCGTCCGTAATCCAGTTACTCCTAAAGTGGCCCCGATCGCTCCTTTGCAGGAGGGCACATTGACCATCTCGGTTACCAATGCCTTTTCATGAACTTGTAATTTATTATAAATCTGGCCTAGAAATGCCTGAGAACTGTGATTTTCATAGAATGCTAACCACACTCTTGCGTGGTGAATACCAAGACGCCACGGAACTTGAGTCTTCCATGTGATGCCCTCTCAGTTTTAGGTTGTTTTAGTCCACCTAGAACAACGTCAAGTTATTCAGAACGCTTTTAAATGTATCCATTTGTCTTGTGGAAGCATTACCAAACGTCTCGCCATTTGGTACACTTTCTCTTCGCACGCACAGGACAATTTGTCTACTTATACACTTAATATTTCGCTGATTGTATAGTCTAGAAATAAGAAATTGGATTTGATTTGATTCATTGTGTGGCATTGTTGGCACACAGAAGTGCTTGTTATCACGAACTCTAGCTCATAAGAAAATATATACAAGATATTAATCGCTTGAATAAGAATCATTCTTCTTCCATTAGTTGAGATATATACACTTGGCCAATATTATGGTCAAATAACTTTGGCCAATATTATGGTCAAATTCTTGATTGTTGTGTGTACTTGTAATTCTACCACTAATTCAAGAGTTAAATTAATAATTCTTTGTATAAATTGATCTTGAGATTTGTTCTAAGAACTAAGTAAGTTAAGTTGAGTAGATGGTCAAGAAAGGAATTGATTATGACTTAGAGTATTAATCAATATCATCTACAAAAAAATACAATATAAGATGAATGACACCATATAAGAATATCAACTAATATTGATGGTGAAGTAGGTAATAAGTCTAGTGACTTTAATCATTTGTAAGTTTGCTAAGAAAAAAACTTCATTACAAGATGTTTCAATTACAGCAAATTATGGGCTTATAGTAGTCGTTGTTGGAAGAATAGGGTTTTGAAAAGTTAAGAGGATATTTATTCAATAGTTTGTTAATATGAAGATATACTTTTGTCAAAGACAAGATATATATTAAACATGTAAAATATATCTCAAAGAAAGATGACATAAAAAGAATAAAAAAGTATTATTAAGGATATGAATTAGAAAAATCAAAAGGTCAGTACACTCTTAACTTACTAAAAAAGAGTAGATAACTATTCAAAAATGATATAATATTGAGACTAGAATGGTTATTATCAAATACAAGAAGACAAGATACTCTTAAAACAAGACTAAAAATTAAAAAAATATTGGTAAGAATGATAAAGGGCTCTTTCTTGCATCCATATGTACTATTTAACAACGAGCTATGTGGTGATATTCTATAGAGCCTTCAACATGTGTCCAACTTGCAAGATGTGTTTAACCTACAAAACAAGTTTTTTTACATGTGTATCACATATCCAACTTATTCTATTAGTTACTAATATGTGATACATCTAACCAACTTGTTGGCCAAGTTTTTAATCTTTCAATTACCTACAAATAAATTTGCATCTCTGAAGCTTTTGAAAAGCTATTTCATTAGATATTATGATTTTTGTTAATTTCTATTTACTTCTATTTAATTCCTTTAATCTAAGACTATATATATATATATATATATATATATATGATATTACCTCTCCTTCTAAAAACAACTTCCACACAGAGTAGTGATTACATATTAAAGAAGTTTAAGATGCAACAAATTATATTTGCCACATATTCTAATCTTTGTTTTCTTTAAATTTTATTGATAGGTCTTTTTAGCCATCAATAGTGTTCTATACCAAAATGACAAGACCACCCTATTTTAAGTTTATTATTAAGGCCTTTATGATTTTCTTCAAATATTTTTAGGATCTATCATGAGGCCATTATTTTTAGATGTTAACTTGAATTGTAGGAAATACATACTTTTTCATCTTGGTACATAGTCTTACATCACTAAATATTTTTAACATTTGACAAATATGAAGTTTATATTCTTTTGTGTTCTTAGAATAGATTAAAATGTTATTTAGATAACATACAACAAAATTTTCTAAAAAATCTCAAAAAACATCATTTATTATATGTTGAAAAATAATTGGTGCATTTGTGAATCTAAAAGATATGATATTATATTCAAAATATCCATACTTATTTCAAAATTTATTCTTCTATCAATTTCTTTCTATGATACATATCAAATTATATGATCCTAATAAATCTATTTTTGTATAGATCTTTACTTCATTCAATTGATTAAGAAGTTAAAATATTAAAAGTAGAGGATATTTATTCTTGATGGTGATTTTTTTAACTCTTTAATAATCCATATATATCCATAGTGATCTATTTTTTTTCTTTAAAAATAAATTAAAAGCTAATACAAGAAATTTTGAATAGTGTTTAAAGTTCTTAGCCAAGTTGTCATCAATATTTTCCTTGAGGGTAGCTAACTTATTTTATGATAAGCTATAGATTGGTCCAAATGGTAGTTGAGTTTCTTCTTTAAAATCATTTGAATAATCATAAAGACAATGCTTTGAAAATGTATTTGCACTCTTTTTTTTAAAAATAACTTAATAATCTTCATATTGATTTGAAATACCACTAAAAGTCTTTCTACTATCGAACATGGGTGTGGCAAAAAATCAAAAGGTTATCTTTTTTTTTTGTAGCATGCATAAAATTATTACACCTACTTTTAAGAATTTGGTTGTACAAGTCTTATGAATTTTTACTTTAATAACAAAATTCTAGATTATGCTATTAGAAAAATCAAGGTTATAAGAAATCTAAAGATTATATTATTCTAATAATAATAAACCTAAAATAATTAAATTAGAAAGAAATCTAATAACATTAAAAATTAGTAAAGCTATTATGACCAATAATTGTCATATCCATAGGAAGATTTCTATGTATAATATTCTTTGAAGACAACAAACAACCATCTATAACTTCTACATGTTAAAGATTTTTTTCAATTTTTAACAAAATCTTTGTTTATAAAACATATTAAGATTCTTGAATCTAACAAAGTAGAGGCTTTATAATTTTTCAATTCTAAACAAATATCTATTATAAAGGAGGATTAGAGATCTAAGGAGAAAATAGGACCTTTACCAAATATTGCTTAAGATTTCAACTATGTTATGCCTATTGTGACTAAAAAACTTGTTTTTTGATACATCATTTTTTTTGTAATCATGATTCTTATTTTGTAATTATGTATTTTTTTTTTTTTTTTTTTTTTTTTTTTTTATTTATTTTGTAAGAGGTTTGAAACGTACCAAATCACTTCAAATAAATTTTGGCATTGATGAATAAGTTTTTAAAAACTTAAGAGCCATCATTATGGCTTGAGTTGTTTTTCATTACTCAAATCTTTGTTCTTGGCATCTCTCAAAAAGTCAACTATTGCATAGAATGGCTTGAGTAATAAATTATTCCAATGAATTTATTTTTGGCAAATCAATAATACATCCTTGTTATTATCTTTAAATTCATATTAAAATTGATTGATAAGGACATTATCATTTCAATCCATGTTACATGCAAACTTTTAGAAATCAACAATATGTATAATAATTTATTATGATTTTAATTGTAAAAATGAGAGTTCTATCTAAACTACCATTATTTTAATCACTTTTCTATCAATGTAGTTGTAAATACTTCCAAGAATAAATTTAGATCATATAAGAGTTGTGAATCATTTTTGTTAAAGGTACAAACTTAGAGAGAATACTTCAAGATCAGATTGTATCTATAAATTTAATTTAAGTAAATCCATCACAATATTGCAAAGAATATAACCTTAGATAGACCTTGACTTGTTTTAAAAACCCTTAAAATTTTGATCATGTTCTATCAAACTTCTCCCGCATATTAATCATTAATTCCTTTATACTTATAGTAGCAAGATTCTTTTATTTCAATTATAAAAATGATCTACTTCTCTTAACTACACAACTTCTTGGCATAAACATTTGACTTCATTATTGACTTCTTATGAAGAAATAGGAATAATAATTCTATAGTTGATATTGATAATAAGTTATAATTCTTTATTAATAATGTTAATAAACTAGTAAAGATTTAGAATAGTTAAAAATCTATTTTGTATTTTTTTCAAATATAGTATCCATTTTTTAGCCTTTCATCTCTTTAATAAACAACTTTGGCATATGTACAAAATAAATTTGAGGAGAATCCACAATTTCTAATATCAAATAAAAGTTTTTATACATAAAATATTCATCTTTTTTCAAAATAAGATATAATATTAGAAAAGAAAATATTAAATCAAAGGTCAATAATAAACAACTTTTAAAGCACGAAAAAAAGTGAAATAATTCATTCTTTTAAATTTTTAAAAATAAAACAAAGGATTTCATATTCTTTGTTAAATTTTCTGTGTTCTCTTTCTATTGCAGGTTCACTTGCTCCTGTACTCTTCGCAATTATGTGGAGTCGTAGCAAAGGAGAATTGTTTTTCATTGCAACTCATTTTGTCGGATTCGTCATTTTGTGCATTGGACCTCTTTCGACTCCTTCTCTTGGATATTTTGTACTTCCTGGTGGTTGGAGATAATTAACAGTAGTCGAATTTTTGTTGTGTTAGCAATAGGTGTTGGTAGGGATAGATCCCAAACAAGTTTCGTAGAATTACTCTCTTCTTTTATTAAGACATTGTGTCCTATAACTGTTTACAATTTTCATGCCCTACTCATTTGTGGCATGTTTTGACTATTTACCTTTAGTTCATTTGATACTTTTAATGTCAATTTTTACTAGTGAGCAAAGCTTTACTTACATCCAGCTAGTTTTTTTTTCCTTCGCTTAGAAATCTTGCTCTTATATTTCAATGACGAAGGTTTAAGTATCAAATCATTGAGAATGGTGCGGTTGTGGGTCTTCGAGACAAGCAAATCTCGTGGGATAAACTCTTTGTTGAAGAACAACAAGTACTTGCTTAGTTAAAACTACATAAACTTTAAGCATAGTATGTTGCTAATAGTAAAAAGGCAGCAAAGAGATAAAGTAAGTTATTATGGTGGTACCGAGGCTTTACTAAGAAGAGGTTGAAACAGATGTAATATCAAATGGATGGAAGTTGTCTCGTTGGTAAGCAAACCACCACCTATAAGTAAAGAGTGTTGGAAGTAAGAATCATCTTCCTCCATACTTCTATTAGAATACAATACTTACTGATGCTAAGTGTTTGTAGCCTTTAGACTTCTTTTTTTTCAATAGGTTCTGGGCCCACTCACATTTGCTTGAGTGTCTTTTGAAGACTTTGAAGTATTTTATTTTGTAAGTGTAGAGTAGATCAAGTTGTTGTTGCTGATGTTAGGTATTAAAAGTACC